TGAGGCAGGGAGACATTTTTGGGGGGGAGGCAAGGAGTTTAAAAATATGATGTTCAGATTTGGTTCCTCTCCCATGGGAAAGAGATTCAATCTGCACCATGGACCACACACACACTCACCAAGCAGCATACACAAACACTCACTCGAAACCCTGGAAAGCTGTCCAGGTTAAGGCCGACAAGAGGACAACTTGGAAAAGAAACTTACAGTGCGGACATCCAGAAACAGAGGGGGAGGCATGGGGGGGGGGGGGGGAGACAGAGAGGCTCCACCGACCAGGAGACTGCCAGAGGAGCAGCTCATTAAACTGAATGTGAAGTGCTGCAACAGACAGTGTGTTTTTTTTATTAGACAGGCTGAACGTCTCAAATGTTGCAGGTGTCATTACACAGATAGTTGTCCTCATAAAGCCACTGAGAATAACTGGTGGGGAATTATAAAACAGATTTAATGAAAAGGACAAACGCTACCCAATGTGCCTTGTTAGGGAGATGGGTAGGCTACTTTAAGTTTGAAGGAAGTTTAGTTACAGACTGCATTTGAAATACTAGAGAAAAGAAACACAAATGGCGGCATTTTGGAATCGGTGGTAATTAAATGCTCAGGAAACATTTCTTCCAATCCTTTTAGTTAATCAGTCTCTCTTTCCATCATTCCTTTAAGGCTGCAATAACTTAGTAAGCAGTGCCAGTTTGACAGCGAGCCGGCATGCACAATAGGCCTGTTTAACTGAAGACATATTGAGGGGCCACAGTAGGCAAGCATGGGGGTAAATTATAAAAATGATTGATGGTTGAATATATTTTAGCCGCTTTAATGTCCGATTCCGTTCTGAAGCTTTAAGGCTGGAAGGACATGATTGGCTTTCCAGAAACTTGTGGACTGTTCTTGTTCTACGTACATTTTATAAAGACAAATCCAATTATATTAAATCAAACTCTAAATGTAATGTGTTTTACAATGAGTTTATTAAAATGTTTAAAGCTGTTCAATCATTGAAAAATACAAAATACAATAAAATAGTTAAGCACAATTGAAGAATGCTATATAAATAGCCCTGTCCCTTTGTTGTATTTATTTTATCTTTTTGAGCTTGTATTTATTTTACGTTTGAATGTCTTTTACGTTTTTGATATAATTGTTCCCGTGTTTTGAATGCACCTGTTGCTAACAGACGTTTTCATATTTTGTATTTCTGAAAGCCATGTTGTTTGGTAAATGCAATTTTCCAAATAAAGATGAAAATAAATGTCAAAAGATAAAGTGGTCTCCTGAATAGCACCGAGCCATGTCAATCAAGTGTACAGTGAACACGCCCACTCGCTCCTGAGAGGGGGTCTAATTAGGCGATATAAGTAAAAACACCTGTGGGGGCGGTCAATGTTCAGTCACCTTTTTTATATATAATGTTGCTACTTTTTACCATGCATATGTACTTATATGATTTCAGTTTATAAACATGTGCTTGCCTCTTTTTGTATTATGTTAGTGTACTCTATTTTTGCCTTTTCTCTGCACTGTACCGGTGCTGTAACAATGTGAACTACCCTGCGGTGGGACAAATCAAAGGTTTCTGTTTCTGAAGAAATTCATCTCCTGTACTCCCTCCGTTTCCTGGATGTCTTCTTTTAAAAAATGGGTCAGTTTCCATCCACAGCTTTTTTTGTCAGCAGGTTAAGTGTCGGGGGTTTCCTCAAAGGAGCGAAATCAGTGAACCAACGGTCACGGACCATTACTCACACACAGTTGAGACATTCCTCTTAATCGGCATTACTCACTTCTGTGCGCCTTTTCTCTGTGTGCTTATGTGTGTGCAGTCATGTGAAGACTAGATAAATATGACTCACTGATTTATACTTGTCATACATAATCATTTGTGACAGTTTGTTAGTGAGCAAAGACTCCCTGTATGGTGACAGGATGTGTGTTTAAGCTGGAAGAGGAAAGCAGTATCTCTGAGTCTCACTCTTTCTCTATTTCCCACCCATGCTGTGGATGATTCACACTTACCCAGTAGATACCTGTGAAGGGTGCTTGAGCATGACATTTTCTCCAAGATGCTGCAGCCTCCGGGTAGTGGATCATCGCTGTGACAGAAAGAAAAGACCATAAGGAATAAATATAGAAAACGTGTGTCACTTAATCATATAGGGACGTGTGAAGCGCAATAGGGTGACCAATGAAGTGTGTGTTCACATGTTAAAGGATTAACAATATATCACATGAAGTGCTCTTCAGAATCAGATTAAACATTTAAATCAGAAATCCTTTATTCGTCGTACAGTGGGTAATTTAACAGCCTTACGACAGCAAAGGTAGAGACAAAAATGAAAACTAGTTGATTACCATATTAAATGGGGCCCTATTAGGCTCATTTCCAGGTTACATATTTGTATGTTGTGCCTCTGCTGTCCCAATGGGGGGAACTTTGGGATTTTAGCCTTTGCATTAGCTTGTACATGCACACAAACCTATATATCACACTAGAGAAAAGGGCAAACCCAAAATAGCTTAATAGGGCCCCTTTAAATTAAACCACACGGTGTATATACATTCCAAAAGGTACAAATCCCATCTTTCAGGAAATTGTTGATTGAAAAAACACTCAGATGCAAGGTGTAAAAAAACACTTATAATTTGTTGTTTTCCGGTAAAAAATAAATAAAAATAGTCCAGAGAAAAATTCTATCCCATATGGCTAGCTTGCCTCTTTTGGACTGGCCTCTGTACAGATATCTAAATGGGACGTGAGGCTGTCGGACTCTAAATCAGGCTTTTGGCAGGGAGAAGGAGGACTTGAGAGACGGAAGAGGAACAAAAACGGGTCAGAGAGATGGTGGATGAGGAGAAAGAGGGACAGGAAGAGAGTGGGAGGACAGGAGATAGGTACATGAGAAGAAGAGATGGGAGAGGAATAAGAAAGGAGTTGAAATGAGAAAGACAGGGAGTCATATATGGAGAGGAGGGTAAGAAGAAGGGAGGACATAGGCAGGACATTGGGGAGAAAGAGGCGGGAGATGCTGGCAAGAGGAGAAAAAGCAATAGGGAGGCGGAGAAATAAAAACACACATAATTGGCAGGTGGAGAGGAAGGAGGGCCAGTGAAGTGCTGGGATGGAGAGAAGCTGGGATGGAGAGAAGCTGGGATAGGGAGATGCTGGGAAGGAGATGAAAGGTGAAAGGGTGGTAGTGGGGGGCTAAGGGCCTCGAAGAAAATATGCAAGCAGAAAAAAATTGAGGGATACGAGATGTGAGAGAGGGAGAAGAGGCACAGAATTAGATACAAATCACTGAAGCTCTTCAATTTCTGTTGATGTTACTTCATTGTTTATGCTAAAATATGGCCATATCTTACAAATATACTTTTTAAGGGAGTCAAAATGGGGTAGATAAGAGAAGGAGGGAGTATGGAATCAGCGAGAGCAGGATAAATGTTTCATATAGTGTCATCACATTGGATCTCATTATGGATTATTTACTTGAAAGTCTCCGAGACTCCGAGACTTTAGGAATGGCTGATGTCTGCCTGCTGACAGTTTAATGGTGGTCTGTTTACTAATGATAAGTTATTGCTTCCTTGACGTTATTATGGAAGGGAAAAGAGAGAAGGGGGAGGGTTAAAGTGGGAGAGACAGGTCAACATCAAGGGCTTTGAGGATGGCAAATAAACAGTGTAGTAAAAGGATGGAGGGCGGAAAGAGAGCTGCTGTTTGGGCGGTAGTAAAAGGTCAGAGACCCAGGAGGCCCGCTGCTGTCTGACAACAGGACACACAGAAACCTGTCAGACAGAGGAGGAGGAGGAGGGAGGGGGGCAGACGGAGAGACAAACAGAGGGGGAAATTGTTGGTGTGTGTGACAGCGCTGATAGAAACAGTTGACTAAAACAGCTAATTATCTGAACAAAGGCAGCAAATGAATACTGCCTAATAATTAGCCTTAAATACATGCTATTGTCAGCAGTTCTTTATTATACGCCACATTCACAGCAATATGGTGTTGTGCCTGCTGGGATCGTGGCCTCCTTGTAATTGTTGTTTGCTACAGCACAGGTCCCAAAGCTGGGTCAAAGGCTCTGCAATGACTGAAAATATAGAAACAACTCTGCTTAAAAGTAAAATACTATTATGCCTACTATTTTTTGTAGTATATTGAGATGTAAACACCCTTTCTGTGAATATGCTCTTGTTTATCTTCAATGGTGCACAGCACTAGAAGCAACTATAATATTGCTGTTTGTTTTGTTTAAAGGAAATATTGTATTTAACTGTAACAATTGACTATTTGGATCTTAATGAAGTTTTCATCTCTGGTTGCGTTCAAGTACAGTTGTATATTTTAGAATAAGTAAATGAGAGCTTTATATGACAACTTGAAGTTACATTTCCTCAATTACAGAAGTAGCAAAGAACCTGTGTCAACAACTTGTGTACATATTTTTGCTGCAACGTTATTAACCTCTGCAGCAGCCAGGGATAAAGCAAATAAACAATGTGGCTTTGTTTTCAGGGTGAGCTAATTGTTGGCACACAATTAGCATTGAAATGTCTTGGAAGAATAATGCGACAGTGCACTTTTATCCACTACTCGTTAGCAAATCACCTTTCAGTCAATTGTTTGACTGACAGACAATACTGTTAGGTCTACTTACTTTGTGTTTCTAAAGCTTTCAATCACATCTCGTGGCAATCCTCGAGGTTGAGGAGTTGCTGTTTCCATCAGCAATTTGATTAGCTCAAAGGCAGCCATTGCTTTTGGACATGGGACCACGTGGGTTTTGATATAAAGCAGCCCTGTGACAGACGGGTGTCCTGGGTGAAGAAGTCATAGCTTTCGGCGCAGGTGGACGAAACTTTGCTTCAGGTACATTTGGGATTCTCTTCATGCATTCACCCAAGTTGTGTTTGGTACACTGTCGCCATCTAGTGTATCATTTCAGTATTGCATCCGCGCTTCCGTTCAGTTTGAGCCTAGCAGGAACCCGTAAGGAGGCGCAAACGTCGCCTTAGCAACGGGAAGGGTTTGGATCAGTAACGAGCAGAACATTTCTTCCTAACTGGGCTGATTCATAAAGAAAACACGCCTAAATATTTCCAGTTTACTACCTGAAGCCGTGATGGCTGCAGTCAACCCGTCAGTGTTTCTTCTGACGGTGAACGGACAAATTGAGGGAGCAAACGTACGTCTAACTTCTAATTGTTAGCCTAGCCTAGCAGATATTTTCAACCAGAATTAGCATTAGCAACGCTTGCCTTCCACCTGAATGTGTCTCAATTATTAGTTTGAATGCCATTAAAGTGTCTTTTGTTATGTTATATTTCAGTTTCCAGAGTATGACAACTTGTACTGCAAATATTGTTTCGTGTACGGCCACGACTGGGCTCCTACTTCGGTGAGTAGTATGCTAACAACAGTAACTTTATATGAGTAAAGATTATGGTCGGTGTCAAAACAAATACTCTACATCAGAATCAGAATGTCTTTATTAGTCCCACAAAGGGGACATTTACATCGTTACAGCAAAGAGACAATAATGGTTGTATACTGTATGTATATATTGCATAGTGTTATATTCGTTAACTTTAACATAATAACACTGGTAAACAATGTATTAAATGTGTGCATATGGAAGCTCTTCTCTGAAGCAACAAGTAAAAGAGAAACTGGTTAAGTCTGAATTGGTAGTAAAGACACTATTATTACCAAGAAGTGAAACACAATATATAACTTGTTTTAAGATTAAGTCAATATTTGTTTTTCAAATAAGTATAGAATGGTTTATCAGGTGTTGTTATCATCTTAATAGCAAGTCTGTTTGTCTGTTTCTTTGTAGGGGTTGGAGGAAGGCATCACTCAAATAACATGTAAAGGCAGTCAGTCTTCACACAAATTAATATGGAACTTCCCATTGGAGACGACGTTTAAGAGCACAAACCCCACTGGATGTGAGCAACACACACACACACACACACACACACACACACATACACATACACCTACACCTACACCTACACCTACACCTACACCTACACCTACACCTACACACACACACACACAGTTTTTAGCATTGTCTTTATTCACACATTCATAATCATCTCGAGTTCTAATAACCGCCCTTTATGAATCATAATACATAGACAATGAAAAATGACCAGACTTCATTTTCATTTCCTAGGGCCTCAGCTGGTGGTGAGTGTGTACGGTCCAGATGTGTTTGGCAACGATGTGGTCAGAGGCTACGGAGCAACACACATCCCCTTCACTCCTGGACAGTAAGTATTACATTTAAATATATCCAAATATGTATGTAAAAATCTGCACATTGTACTACACTATATAACATGTATTACTATGAATAAAGTTTAAAATTAATATGTTGTTTTCCTGTTCTCTAGGCACACACGAACCATCCCCATGTTTGTTCCTGAGCCTACGTGGAGACTTCAGAAGTTCACGAGGTGCGATCATGTGTTCAGTTTCTGTGTTAGCAGCTGTGGTGCTGCAGCTGATGAGTATTTCCCGCCGGGAGAAGCAGCTGAAATCTCAGCATTAGCAAATATTTACTGCTCCGGATGATACAGTCTCAGTAGTCGACGTCAGTAGGTATTGTTTGCCAGCTGCTGTTATCAGTGTGTATGGAAAGAATGACACACAACGGTGATCACAGTCACTTTGACACATAACACAGTACTCTATCAGATTAGAAGGACCTTTAGCAACATTGGGTGCATATTTAGTGTTTCCTTTAATCTGGGAAAGGGTTCAAATATATGCATGTGGTGCTTTTTTTGTGGATCTTAACATCACATGTAAATGAACTCATCACTCCCTGTCTGCCAGAGATGACTTGTAATAGGAGTGATACAGAAAAGCAAGAGCATCATATTTTATGATTGGTTGAGTCCAATTATAGACGTTAGACAACGGCTCCAGAAACAGTATATATCCTGTGTTAACCCCTGTATGTCTACTGTACTGTATCATTTCAATTACGGGGTATTCTCTCTCTCTTTTTTTGTAGTTTTTAAACATGTGTTTCCTCTCTTGTTCAGCTGGCTGATGGGACGACGACCTGAGTACACAGACCCTAAAGTAGTGGCCCAGGGAGAAGGCAGAGAAGGTTTGTTCTGCATGTTATTACATTGTTAACAGGGACATGCTACTGGTTCACACCCTCTAACGGAAAAGCATTATAAACACATTAATCACAAAAACGGTGTTTAAAAAAAATAAAAATAAGCAAACTCCTGACATTTCTAAAACAAGTCACTTAAGGTAATTTGGTAACTTTTTTGCTGATTTAGACCAGTTTACCAAAACTACCTGGAAGGAGGAAAGGTGTGTATAATGAGTATAATGCACATTTTTGGCCACTGATAATATAATTATCTTGCCTCTACATTGGTGGACATTCAATAAGTTATTAAATGGATTCCTATAAAGTTTAAATGAGGGTACACACATTTATTAAATTCTGTTTGTTGAATATATATTTCTTATTTTTGTGTTGCAGTTACTCGGGTCCGTTCCCAAGGCTTCGTCACGGTCTCCTTTCACATCATTACTAAAGACATGAGGAAACTGGGTTACGACACAGGACCATCAAACACTGCCAACACACCGTCTGCCACATCCAGCTGGTCCACAGAGGAGCAGCCGTACAGCACGCAGTAACACCGGAGACTGCTTTACAGACTAACTTTTCAATTTGATGAAACACAAGTTGACTGGTTTACTTCCTCAGTGAGCATGGGGAAACCACAACACTGCAATGCCACTGTTACCTTAAAGCGACAAGAAGGCGACTTTGATCAGATGACACACGTTTTTTTTAGGAAAAATTAAATTATTTGTTAAAGATTTTATTACATGTTTTCAAATATAAATAGTTTTAGATAATGTCTTGAATTTTTCTGTTTTACATTGTTTTTTACTTTTTTAAATAAATGGATTTTACTCTGAATTGTTCGTGTTTGAATGTATCGAACTGAGGCTGCACAATTAATACAAATTATATTTAGATCGCAGTATGGACTACTGCAGTATCAAAATTGCAGTAGACGCAGTATTTGGTAAAGGCCAAATCTGTGAAAATATTGAGCATGTCTTTTTCTAAAATGTTATATTTTACCAAGTGCGTGAGGGCTTGAATACACGACTACGTTTAAGTGTGTTGTCAGCTTTAGAAAGAATAGTTTATTCAGGACATAATTGTGTCTTTCTACCACTTTTTTTGACAAAATTCCCCATTTCTGATAAGCAGCTTTTAAAAATTGCCACTACTTTAGAAAATCTGGGTTTTATTTATCTAAATTACAATATGGACCTGGTTAATTATGAAATCGCAGTAAGCTCAATATTTGGTAACGGTAAAATATGTACAAATATTCTGAATGAAGTATCATTGCTGCACATTAGGCCTACACTATTCAAGTTACTACAAATATATGTGATTGGTACACATCCTCTTAAAAAAAGAATACACCAAGATCATTCTAATATATATTTTAATGATATTGTGAATAATGTTTCACAAATTATTATTATTCTCTCGCCTATATCACAAATCATATAAAGAGTCAATATAATCAAAACTAGTTGTGTTTTCCAAATGGTCCAGGCCTAGAGTGAGCATATTGTGGCATACAGCATTTGCAGTTGAATGGACATTGGTTTTTAGAAACACAAGCACACAGAGACGGTTACAGAGCGGAAGTGATACACATTTTATTTTTGAACCAATGCAGCTACAGATGTCCTCATCCGACAGGGTGCGGTCTGCTGCGTTCGTTTGTTTAGATGCCGTTAAAATACCACGGTGACTTTTTTTCCTACAAAAACCCATTACACAGAATAATAAGGTATACAGAGGAACAGTATGTTACAATAGTACAAATGATAAATTATATTATACAGTTATAATGCCAACAGGTCGAGCATGTATCCAATAAAAAAAAAAAAGCAGCAGCAGCCTGCTCCCAGTACTATGAGAAAGGGTAAATAGACAGACATGGAAAAGATTAAAGGAAGCTTTATGCATATAAAGACAGGTTGGTTAGTCCTCTTGATAAAAGCATAGTGAATACATAGTAACACGCAGAGGAGCTCGCTACACACAGGCCACATTTCCACTGCACCATAGCCATGAGTCCAAAAGTCTTCAGCTGCAGTGACTGTTAGGGAGTGTTGAATTTGTTCATTACAATAAATGTTATTTTGTTTTTCAATGCATCCATAACAACTTGTTTTTTTCACAATCGCTAAAAGGTCAGGCCGCAGTGAAATCAAGGCCAGTGAGAAAGTGACGGCTAGAATATCATTTCAAGACTTTATTAGCAAATCTAACCTTTGCAAAACACATCAAGTCTTCTTATGTTTTTTTTAATCCATCTCCAATTTTTGCATATATTTAGATTTAAAATGTCTTGCTGGTCGGCAAGTAAGTGTCACACCCATTCATTCAGGACCCCCGAGCATTAATCACCCTCAGCATTAGCATCACCAAAATCATACACACGGTTGGAGCTGCCCCTCCTTTTGCCTGAGAGAAATAAAAGGTCTGTGTTTTTAGTGGGAATACCAAGGGTCCTGCGGTGTAGCTGTCATACCACAGCAGACCAGGTGAGGGCGGCAACGCACACCAGAAGAAGAAAAGAAAATACAACCCCTTCCAGACAAGTAACAATTGGCAGTGATAACAGAACTGAAGAGGAGAGGAATGACCTAAGGAGAGGAAGGGTCTGCACATCAGGCTCAATTCATTTTTCATCAGCCCACTTTTCAACAGTAACACTTTTTGTTTTACACAAACTCCTTAACGAATAGCTCTGTAATATATAAAAAAAAAAAAATCATAACAATGGATCCATAAACAGAGAAAACAAAATGTCAGTGAAGTGTGACCCTACTGTTCAATCTACTCAAAGTACGACACCCTCAGAAAATCACAGTCGCTATGACTTTGGTAACAGTTGTGCTTCTAAGAGAAGAGAATTACATCGCCTACCCATAGGGTGAAAAGAAACTACATGACAGAAAATGATAAAGACAGAAAGAGAGAGTGAAGATGATACGATGCTTAGCTAGTACACAGCTCCGAAACTCTGAAAGGCTTGGCTATGGATTTACATCTAAACAAAAAAATAAGTAAATAACGACGAAAGAAAATGAACAACTGCTCGTTTTACATGACGTGATGCTCTGTTGTTTTGCTGAGGGATTCCGTGTGCTATCAATACACCGATCCTGGAACAACCGTGTGTGTGTGTGTGTGTGTGTGTGTGTGCGTGTGTGTGTGTGTGTGTGAGTGTGTGCAGCAGGTAATGTTCTTGCAGAGATTAGCCGCTGTAAATCCACTCCGATGTAAAACAGTTTTCATGATGCAGTGTTAAACCCATAGCTATCTTTGCAACCGTTGCATGGAAACACTCCTTGATATATATGGTTGCACACACACACACACACTGACATTCATAATCACACACACACACACACACACACACACACTTAAGGCTGCCGATGTCTATTCCCCCCCCCCTTTTTGACTTAAACTTCAGAAACTATCTTAAACTTGCTCATAAAAAGTACACTTGGAAGCTATCTCTCATGCAAACTTCACTCACACACTCTCTCACACAACCCATCCTCTTCCCTTTGACCCTAGAAACAACTAAAAAGAAAAAAAAAACTGTCTAATGCTGCCCTACTGCATCTTTTATGTTCAAATGGCAAAACACTGATGCCATCACATCATGTATCTTTCTCTAAAACACACACTTGGTGGGGGGAGGGGGGAGGGGGGGGTCAGTTAGTGACAAATACATCAACGTGTGGCTGTTAGTATCCGAGCATCAACAGTACAAACAAAAGTAACATTTCATAATCTTTTCAACCCCTAAAACAAGGGGTTCACCTCCTTTGATAAGTGTTCATTGTTAATCCCGTGACCCCGAGAGGTCAAAGTTCATATGGAGGTTTGGGGGGGGGGGGGGGGGGGGGGAGGGGGATAAAAGGTCCAAGTTGACAGGAAGTGACCAGACGAGACTTGTGACTGAGTGGTACCGCGAGCCGAGGCAGTGTGTCGGCCTCCCTTAGCTAAGGTGTAACGGTGAGCCCAACAGTCGCAGACAGAAAGAAAAAAAGAACAAATTGTGCAAAATCCCTGCTTTATAACACACATACATACACACACACACACACACACACACACACGAGAGAGTATAAACACATCTGACCATCTCGCATCCGTACTCCAGTGTGTATAAGTAAAACCCACTGGAATATACACAGTGTAAAAGTACTGAGATGTGTGCTCAAACAAACACACACACACACACACACACACTCACACACACACACACACAAACACACACACTCACACACACACACACAAACACACACACACCGGCTGACAGGGCTTATAAAAGATTAGCTCTAGTGTAGAGATAAGATCCTGGCGTTAGTATGGTCAGACTCTCCTGTCACTCCACCACAGAAGAAGAAAAAAGGAGTCCTAGGGGAAGAAGTAGAAGGAGAGGAGACGAGTGAATAAAACCAGGACCGGGGGTGTGTGTGTGGGGGGGGGGGGGGGAACTGGGTCCTGTCCCGACTCTGTAAACTGTAAACACCACTGCTACTCTGTAAGTCTGTAGACTGATGCAAACCGTTTGTGGTCGTCAACATCAGCGTGGGATCAGTAATGGACACACAGGACTAGGCAGCTTGTAGCACTGAGACAAAGAGACGGAGGGGGGGGGGGGGGGGTAAAAGGAGTGTGTTAAAGTGTGGGGGGGGGGGCCAGGCTGGGACTACGACCTGGCTAGGAGTTGGTTATAAAAGAGATAAATGAGATAAGACATCTCCTTGTTCATTTTTTTTTTAGCTTCTTAAGGAGCCAAAGTGGAAGAGAGAAAAAGAGAGGGAGGGGGTTGGTGGTCACCCCCTCACAAGAGGAATGGGTTGGTGGTCCCGGCCTGCTGCGACCCGGCCTGGGGGGGCATGCTCATCAGGGGCTGGGGCAGAGACATGGAGGCCTGCATCGCCGCGGGCAGCCCCCCGCCGCGGGCCATGGGGACCATGGTGATGGGCTGGGCGGACGCCGGGGGGACGGGCATGGGGTCCCCCATCCCGAAGCTGGAGGGCATGGGGCTGACCCGCATCTGGTTGAGGGTGGGGGGCACCGGCTGGGTCACCTGGAAGGGGTTGGCGTGGGCTGCTTGGGCGAGAGCTGGAGCAGCGACGCCTGAAGAGAGGGAGAAGAGAAAAGAACGGATGTTAAGAAACCATAGCAAATAGTTTAAAAGCATAGTTGGAAACATTGACATCCAGATTCCACTACATTTGAATGCTGTGCAGGTTTTTAACTTGTTTGAAGAGACCCTTTAATGATTTGGGGGGTTACCCTTTCCTGTAGTGTTATATAGGTTTGTGTGCATGTAAATGGTCTGCAAAGGAGTTTCCCTCCCACACACTCCCCTGCCTGAGACTCCATTGGACTCCTTGTTTAATTCAGTAACATAATGACATCACTATGTAACTTGCAGTTCTATTGGCTAGCGCCACAACATGGGATTGTTTTTAATGGCGATGAGAAAATATAATAATAAGATCAAAGCTTTATGTGAAAACCTAAAATTAAAAGTAAACTCAAATGTTTTGGATTTAATAGAACTAAATGTTGATCTTTCTGTTACTTCAAAATATTAATCAAACAATATACTATAATTATGTTAGCCTACTGCCATTTCATGAATCAGATCCTTTTTCTCTTGGAGTTTCCTGCTCCTTAAGTCAGGGCAGGGTCGATGATTCAGCATTAAACTGTGCAGATGGGTGTGTCTGCCTGTGTGTCTGCCTGTGTGTGTGTGTGTGTGTGTGTGTGTGTGTGTGTGTGTGTGTGTGTGTGTGTGTGTGTGTCCATGTCTCCTGGCTTACAGACTACACTTCCTGGATTGCACGCTCTGTCATTTAATCAGAATGAATCACCACTGTGTTCACCTGCTTAAAAAAAGCCTGCCAGTAACTTTATATAAAAAAAAAAAAAAAATTCCTCTCTTGCTTAAGGAATACGACAGTTTTGAGAACAACTCCCCCCCACCTGCTGAAGCTAAGAAGGGGTTGATGATGGGCGCCGGCTGGGCTGGTTTGGTCACCAGAGAGTCCAGGTTGACCAGGGCAGCGTTGGGACCCAGGAAGGACTCGGGGGTCTTCCTGGTTGGGTTTGTGGAGCCGGACATAGACATGGAGGAGGGGAGGGGGTCGAAGAGGTCCAGACTGCTGCTGCTCGCCAGGCTGGCCTGGGAGGGGAGAGAGGAAGCTACGCCCCCGTTGCCTGGAGGAAAAGAGAGGAAGGGTTGTATTTCATTGATGAAAAGCTGTGACTGGAATTCTCTGTGAGGGAACAAAAACACTGAGTCATCATGAAGACGGGAAGACACGATTTCTCATGTATCAATGTATAATTGTGGCTACAGTTCAACAACAAAGCTATAACTAACACATAAAACCTTGATTTTGCTTAAATATGTTTTTATATTTGTGATACTGAACTGCTAGGTACACTGATTTGGCATTAAAAAAATTCTTATTACATTTAGGGAACCAAAATATGTCGATATCCAAAATCTGAACCTAGATATCATCGTACATTTTGGATATCATAATATCGTAAATGACGTCTTTCTATGGTTTAAAGGCCGCTTTACAGGAAATGTAACTTTCCAAAAGTCACTGGTTGATCTAGCTTTCTTATTATTTTCCGTTATTTGCTTAGTCATTTAATAGACATGATTACTTTTAAACTGATCATTATGTAAATCATTTGTGAAAGCATTAAAGGTCAAAATCCTCACAATATCAGCGTATTTGGTCAAACATTCATGATATTGAATTTTCTGAATATCGCCCTGCCTTAAATATATGTATTTTTCCTTTTTTTTTTTGTTGCCTTGTACAACTCCAATCCGAGCTTTTACTTACACCAAACACAGCATCCACTTGAGCACTCACAATTACCGTGAAATAAAATAGAACTGATGCAATTAAATGATCAGAAGATGCGTTTACGATAGGCCATCGGAGGCAGACAGCAGGCTTTATGCAGCAGCAGTCAGACAGCAGCGGAGACACTCATTGATGCACATGAACACACACAAAGTCAGAGGCAACGAACACAAGAGGACATTTCAAAGAGGATACCTGTCTTCTTAAAAACTAAAATAATGTAGTAGTAGCCAAACAAAGGCTCATAATAAAAATCAAACAGGGGTGTGTGTATAAACTTAATACTGTAGATTTCAGAGCTGCTACACTGAAGTGTGTGTCCCAAGCCCCCCAGGAAGTGTGCCGGACTCTGAGGAAAATATTCGTTGTGGCCAAACGGCGGTACTACACTTCCGTATCAGTCGCTGGGCCGGGAAATACTTTTTCCCATTGACCCACATTGGGAAAGAGACGTCTGTAAAATTTGCTAATAACGTTATTCTGAGAGTTATTTTCCTCAGCATTATGAACGCACATCTAACCCACGGGACCGCGCCGCCCGGCACGGTCATGTGACGTGTTCAGTACTACATGAGTTTTACCTTTACCCATGGATGCACAATAAGAACGGATTATATGATTATATGAATACTTTCGTGACGCTTCGCTCTCTCAAAGGTTGGGCCATTTTGTCTTCATGCGCCAATGAGCAGCTCTCATAGGAATGAACGAGGCCCCGCCTCCCACGCTGTATCCAGTTCTTATCATACATCCATGGTGTGTCCTCTGTACACCGTGGGATGACTTCTTCTGGGAAAAGTTTGACCTTGAGTGTATCAGTAAAGTGTTTGTGTTGAGCTATTGCAAAACTCCAATGTCCCCCTCCAACACCAAGAGATTGACAAACCACATGAGAAAACACTCAAGACCTGTGCCAAACTGTTCAGTCCCCCCCCCCCTCACACACACCAGCTTGGGCAGAGTTGTTCATGGGTTTGATTAAAATTGCAAAATGTATTCAACAGATGTAAAAGGGGATTCTATGAACTGGATGGCACAGGTCTAACAAAGCATTTAGAGATAACACAACAACGTTTAAATCACACCGTACCAGTGATATGGGACCCAGAGGTGGAAGGTAACTTAGTACATTTACTCTAGTATTGTACTTGGGTGCACATTTGAAGTAATTTACTTCTCCGCTACAATTTAGGGGGAGATGTATTTACTTTTTACTCTACATTTTTTTCACAGCTTTTTTGTTTAGTTTTGAATATGAAAATATCTCTTGTAATGCATTAAATAAGCCAATTTCTTAAAACAGGAACCGCTTAGTTAAATAATCAATCAGCCAAATAACACATCATTAATTGGCATCTATAACATTTAGGTAATTTTCCAAAAGTAATTTGAGCAATTATTGGGGTGTTTTGATTTCTCTGCTTTTATTTTTAACACATTAACTACATATCGCTGATTATACTTACTTACTTTCACGTAATCAACATTTCCAATGCAGGACTTTCACTTGTAACTGAGTATTTGTACAGTGTTGTATTAGTACTTTTACTTGTGTAAAGGATCTAAATACTTCTTCCACCTCTGATGGGACCAGACCAGAGCAAACGGCAGGCTTCCATCATTTTGATTCAATCTCTGCAGCTTTGATAGTATTTGCCGTGGAGACATCCTCAGCTGTTTAAAGAACACAAGATTTCACTCTGCGTTTGCTCTGGTCTGGTGGTATTTACATACACAGACAAGACATGTGTGTGTGTGTGTGTGCCCCCGCAGAGACGTGGGTGTCTGCAGAGGGGCTTCGCAGAGGGGCTTCACAGAGGAAACACAACACAGACACCGTGGCATTAGAGAGACGAGGACAAGGGTGAGTACCAGTGGGGACAGAGGCAGAAGAGCGCAGGCTGTCAAACTCTGAGAAGTCCTCTTTAGACGTACCGTTGGATGCATTGTACAGGTCAAAGCTACCTAGAAGGGGACAACGCACAGACACACACACAAACGCACAGACACACACACACACACAAACCAACAGCACACACACACACAGATGGAAACACAAAACAAGTATGAATGAGTTTGGATAATTGGGAAACTAACATAGAACAATGAACACAATAAGGCAGAACAGCATGCAGGTGTACATTTGTAACGCAATTTTGTTAGTTGCATGCTAGCTATTTATATGACATGTTTTTTGGAATGGAGAGAACTCAGAGAGAAAGAAACTATTTTCCCGGTGGTCACCTGTAATGGAGTTCTTGGGTCGGGTGGCAGAGCTCCATGGGTCGGCGGCAGGAGCGGAGTTAGTCGCCCAGGGATCGCTGCTCTTCATGGGGGGGACAGAGGGAGTCGACCCCCATGGGTCCACTGGAGCTGCTGGCTTAGGTGAAGACCCTGCGGAGTGGGAGGAGAGCAGGAGGAAGAGGAGGAAGGAGGTCAAATGAGTCGTTTCATGCAGGTTCTGGTGGTAATGTATTTATATTGTACATGCGTATTTATATTCATCCTGTTTAATATTCTCTACAAGGAATAACTCCTTGAAAGTTTCAACAACAACACAAAAAGGTGACAAATAATTAGCTAAGCCATATAAACAAAATAACAGGGGGATAATTAGACGATACAAATGTGACCAAATAATGAAAACAATATGTCATAAAACATAATTAAAGATGTTTTATTAATATGGATAAGGCTGCATGAATTGGAATAAATAACTCATTGTAATTATTTTAACTAATATTCAGGGTTCTTACACCTTTTCCAAAGTCAAATTCAAGCACTTTTCAAGCATTTTCAAGGTGCATTTTCAAGCTTTTCAAGCATCTTACAGCTGTTGTAAATTACATATTTATATACACATACTTATACTCAAATGATTATTTCCCTACCTCACATTAAATCAGATGTTCTTTATGCTATAAACAACCACATGTGTGTTTCATAATAGCATTCTATATGAGGATGAACAATTAAAAATGTTAGAAAAGAAAACTAAGTTTAATATTTCAAAATGTGTGACCCATCTGTACGTAGACTGGGCATCCCATATAACCTGGCTGAGCCAATATAAAACAATCAGCCAAATCACTTTTCAATACATTATTGATTACTATTTTTGAGGTACTTTTAGGTTGGCAGTAAACACAAGTCAGAGGTACATGGTGTACTTTTCCTCCACTACATGTATTTAATACCTTTAGTTACTTTACAGATGTGGATGAATGATGTGAAATATAATCAAGTGTTAAATCAGACTTTAGTTCCACCTGGAGTAAATCCACAAGCTACTCTGCAGTATACAAAGTCATTCAAACTAGCTGCAACTTTACCAGCTTTGATAACACTTTCATGATCAATCATTATAAAACATATCATATACAATTATTAGGGATGCTCCGATCGCCAATTTTGGAGCCGATCGCCGGAATCAGTATCGGCCGATACCGATATCGCTCTCTTTTCCTCTCTCTCCTGACAGCCCGTCAGTATCTCCTGCAGCTCACTGATCCAGTAATGAGTGACCCGACAGTGAAGAATAAATATATTTATAACTAGTTTAGCTTGTTCCAGAGGTAGATAAAATAGCTAAGTGTGTTAGGTCTAACTCTTAATGTGTGTTCTGCTCTGCTCACCGGTCCGTCACAGCGGGTGGAGCTGCAGGATTTCTGCTTCACACACACGTTGCATACCGCTATTTTATTGTCATTTTCGGACACTTAAAATACTGCCAGACTAGTGAAGCCATTTTGGCGAGCTTGTTTTGCCGCGCACAGAGAAAAGTGTCATGTATTTTACATGCAACGATAGCCTAATCTAAAATGCTCTACTACAGCGTACCTTTCGTGTGGTGTGTGACTCGTCAGCGCAGACTCTCGCATCGTTATTGTTGCACACTTTGCAGGAGGCTACTCTTGGGCTTCGCTTGACCCTCGTCTTAGCCATGGCTTGTATTTGTCTTCTGCTAGCCAACGCTCGTTGAAACGGCAACCTCCTGGCATACTGTCATCCCATACGTTACAAAAACACTTGCCGGTCACGCGCATTGCGCGGGAAGGCCGGAGCGGAGCTGTTTTATGTAAAAGCGAAGCAATTAAGCGCGCTCCGACTTCTTTATTTTCTTTTAATCTAAAAAGCGAAGTAAAGCATTTACAATTTCAAGCACTTTATCCCAAATTCAAGCACCATTCCCAAAATTCAAGCACTTTTCAAACCTTGAAAACACCTCGTACAATTTCAAGCATTTTCAAGGATTTCCAGCACCCGTACGCACCCTGAATATTGCAATTGCGATATTAGAGGGAAGGACCATTTGTGGAAAACGATTCACATTAATACATCTTTTGAATTTAGTGTGTAAGCCAGTACTTATCTGCAAGACCCAAAAATACATTTTACATAGTTTACCTTTACCAAATATTGCAATTACTGCAGTTTTGATATTGTGATTTGGAGCTTCACACATAAAAAGGTGTTCTTAGCTACTGTCTATTTAACTGCATGAGCAGACGTCTAAGTATTTTTAAAAGGATCAGTCAGGGAATAGGGAAGAATACATTAACATATCCAGCTCCCCCCCTGTCTCCCTCCTCCCTACTTTCCTTCACTAAATCTTCCTCTAACACCCCCCCCCCCCCTCTCCTCTCCTCTCTATGCAGTATAGCTGCTGAGCCAGTGGAGCAGCATTCCTATTTCACAAAGACTCCCAGTGCTTTGAGCTGCAGGTGGAGAGCAGAGACGACACACACAGAAACACACACACACACACACACACACACACACTACACACCCAAACTAATCAACAAGGACAGTCAGTGTGTTAGACATAATCTGATGTGACTGTTTCTAAAGAAGAGTGTGTGTACCATAAGTCTTCCAGGGGTCTTCTGGTGCGGCGGCAGCGGCGGCCCTGGCTCCGGCTGTGGCCCCTGCGCCCCAGGGGTCAGCGGTGGCACCGGGCTCAGGGACGACCATCAGATCCATCAAAGACGATTGTGGCTGGAAAGAGACGGAGAAAGTGAGCAGGAAACAAAACAAGTATGCAGACAAAAGAGGAGAAAACGGGACCATTTGAGATGAAAAGGGATAAGATAGGGAAGAAACACATTCCAGCTGAAGACCATCTGTTGGTCGTATCGTTATGTGCCGAGATAAAACATGAGCCGCAGTTGCTACTCAGGCAGAATAATGATGAGTAAACTGGGGAGTGTGCTGCCAGTTTTCACTACGGCTCAGGAAGCAGCAGAAAAAGACCTTTAATGAGCAGCGTCATGAGAACGGAACAACAGTCACTTTAGTTTCCATGTTTGTGTTTATTTTACCTCTTTCTTCCTTTTGGCCAGTTTGCCTGAATCAGGCCCTCCTTTCTTACTCTCCTCCAAGGCCATCTGTAGTCTCAGGTCGTCCCCTCTGCGTATGCGATCCTCCTGAGCACAGTTAGTATAATCAGCACATGAGCAACAACACAGGCTGGTCTCAATACGTTTGACCTATTTATCCAAATGCCAGTGTATGATAAAGGAGAAATGCCATTTAGCTGGTGCTATTATATATGCTTCTGAAGATTACAGTTCATTGACCAAGAAAAACCTAGTATATTGAAAAAAAGATTAATTGAGAATGTACAGGGGTTAATAAAGGTTTTAGATATGTGTTTTTGCAGAACAATGAAGATCATTTTTATTGCACGTATTTTAACTTCTTACGTTTATTTAAAATTGTTTTAATCTATTTTTTCTATTCATCTTTAATTAAATGTCATTCTAAAATAGAGAAACTGTCACAAAACCCATCTTCCCTTGCAAAAGAAAAACATTTATAATTCTGATATGTAAGCATGAAGTTCTTTTAATGTATGTGTGTGTGTGTGTGTGTGTGTGTGTGTGTGTGTGTGTGTGTGTGTGTGTGTCAGGGTTCATACACCTTTTCACCAATGATTTTCAATGACTTCTCCATGACCTTTACCTAATTTTTCATGACCAAACAAATTACTCTTTCTCAGCAGTACCACTGAAAATGGTTTATTTTAACATGGAACAGGAAAATAAGCTCTGCATATGAAACATGTTGTGCCGATCTAAAACAAATCAAATAGTAGGCTTACTAGCTTCTACACGCTAAAGCAACTCAAATCTCTCAGCAGCAAAATACCTCGACAGTTAAATGCCATTTTACGTTTTATTACTATACGATACAGTATTTATTATCATTATAGTATTACTATTTCGGCGATTAGATAAAATATAAATTATATTTGATGCAACTTTAGTTACATTTCCAAAACTTTGGGAAAAATATTGTTTTCCATAACTTTTCCAGGGCCTGAAATTTTCATTTTGAATTTCCATGACTTTTCCAGGTTTTTAATGACCGTAAGAACCCTGGTATGTGTGCGTGTGCGTACCTGCTCGGCAGCCTCTCTGCTCATGGCCAGAGCCAGTTGCAGCTGCAGCTCCTCCTCTCCGCTGGTCTGAGGTCTGGCCTGCTCCAGCTCTGAACCCGCGTTGGGAGATGTGGCTAAAACACACATTGAGAAGACATGTTAGCATCACTGCTACACTGACCCCATCACATAGACCTGTACATACTATAATTGGCTTCGCTAACAATGAAAGTCATGTGGTGGTTAATACTCAAAAACGTCCCCCCAAAAAGACAGTTCGTAATAATTACAATAATGCAGCGTGTTGTTTCTTCGCGGCAAAGTTGTATTTAAAGGACATGGTGGCTGGATGCAGGACTATAAGAAAGTACAGTGGTGGGAATCAGTGGACCCTTAAGGGATGAGAGGGCCACTTCCCAGCTTGATGGGAGTAGATCAGTTGACCACACACACCACACACACACACCTCACACACACAACACCACACATCAACACACCACTACACACACACACACACACACACACACACACACACACACACACACACACACACACACACACACACACACACACACACACACACACACACAACACCACCCACACACACACACACACACACACACACACACCCACACACAACACACACACACACACACCACACACACACACACACCACACACACACACACACACACACACACACACACACACACACACACACACACACACACACACACACACACACACACACACACACACACACACACACACACACACTTTTTTTTTATTATAAATGGACCATGTGTCTTCTCATTTGGAAAGAGTTGCTTTGCTGTTTCCGTGGGAACCATGATGTGGGAGGTGATGACAAGAGATGAAACCGTATGGAAATGATATATTACTATCCAGAATGATCACGTTTACCATGTCATGAATATTGAATTTTCAAGACAGACAAACAATATGATGTACTTCTACTTCATCAGTTCTGAAAATGACAGTTTCTTTCAGTTCTGTCTGTGGGTGTTCACTAAACCTATGTTTTCTTGGCCATAATTAAATATTTTGTGTGCAACTTTTCATATACAAAGCCATTTTATCCACTACTTAGCATATGCATTGGAAAGAAATGCCGTGTGCAGATTAGTCCATGGCAATTTTTGGCCAGACGATTCCTCTCAGTCTCAAGAGTGCTTTAAGTTCTCCAACTTAGATTATAAACTTCCAACTAATCTCTTTCTCTCTGCTCTGAAAACAGAGACCAGTCATGACATGCCTGCTGCTGCTTATGTGGACACTCCCAAACATACTCACTCAATACTCATCACACCATGATGATCTTTTGTATATTGTTACATCCGTTTCAGATTCTGAAAGCAAACGGTTGGAAAAAAAGATGTATAGAAAGAAGCTTTAGTGTAGAGACAAAACAACAACACTGACACAGATATGACTTAGGGAAACGATGATGGTGAGTTTCACTACAACCAACTTAAAAACCTCTTTGGCAAACATCCTCCGGTCCTATCAGGAGTCTGCAGGAAGTAAACGTCACATCAGAAGTTTTCTATTCATAAAACCGTGTAGATTTGCCATAACAAGTGTTTCCATGATGAGTAAATGGTACAAATCATTTCTTCTTAAAAAGGACGTTCCTTGAACAGTTAAAAGGCTTTCCATTCTTTGAAAGCTGTTTCAAACTTAAAACCTAATTATTCGGAGGTATGCCCTGAAAGAAAAGTGGAGCCACAGCTGCCAAATAAAAAAAATCCTTAATTCCATAGCTTCAGTTTAGAAGCAACAACAGTTCCTGTTTACTAACACAGCTTTGTGTCACGTTTAGATGTGAAGACGTAAAGACTCCAGAAGTCATTTTACTCCAACATGGATGATCCTCCATGATGGCAGAGATGGAACGGTTTCTGGGTCGCATGAGGATAGAGGACACAGGGACAAACTAGCTTAATAAAAAACCACTTCTTGTCTCCTCTCCTGACTCCTGGGCTCACTAACTAGCTCCTTTCATGCTCTATTGTTCCGTAGTCCCATGTCCCCCAAGCTCTATCTCCAGGCTGTGTATCTCTTGGGAAATTGATCAGAAGAACGAAGGGTAAAGGTGTGTTTTGTTAGCTGGTGGGACTCGAGCCATTGCCTCAACTTCAGCTACATGTCTGCCTTAAATAGACAGGGACCACAGTGGCACTAAAGCCTACATAGGAATGTGTACAATGCCATTTAGCAGCAACAAGTGCATTTATTCCCTGATGTTCAGACATTTGCCAATATCTTCCATGTACATGTTTGATCGATGCGTTACATTCTTCTATCAATAGGATCGCTTTTAGTCTCTCCAAAAACAACTGCAAGGCAAAAGAAGACTTAAACAACAGTTTTCAACCACTAATGCAAAGAAAGACTGAACTGCCAACACAATAAAGGACAGGAGCGAGTCAGGAAGACAAATAAACAAAACTCAAGTCCAACTAAAACACAACAGTTTGCCCACCACTGTGGGAATGGACCATATAAGGATAATCACAATTTCTTTGCATTCCTCACGGAAACAGCTGAGCCTGCGAGCAGAAACAGGCATTTTGAAAAAGCTACTCTTCTGGGTCTACCGTTTCCTACTCCTGTGTGTGTTAGCTGTTAGTTCCAGTAATTACTTATCTATCATTTCAATTTTCTGCGTGTTATGTTTTATCTCTGGGCTAATAAGCACAACACTGACATTGAACCAAAGCGTAATCCTCTAAACCCTTCAGACAAAGCCACGTTTTTAAGTGCAGCATGAGTATTGGGGAAAGTGAAATGGGCGGATGACCCCCAGTGTATAGGATCTTTATCCTCAGGGTGTCTACCACTAACTACCACAACATCTGCGACACCCAGCCTCTTGTCTCCTTAGATATAGAATGAGGTGGCTGCTTGGAAACTGGTTATTGGGGCGGCTTCTTAAATGTAGATTTTTAGGAAGGAAGAGTGTTGCATGTAAAGGAAGGGGATCACCAGTCAGAAGAATGAGGAACAACTAAAGAGGAATGAATGACACATTTTTATTTTTTAAATAAAACTCCTTTGTGTAAAGTTTGGTGTTCCACAGAGCACATACTTGGAGCCCTTGAGCTTTTGCTCAGATAAGACAACACATAGAAACAGCACTTCATCAAGCGTGTTCACTTGGATTAGGTGAACTGCTTGAACTTGAATGAACTCATAATGGGATTTAAAAGCAATTAACCATGTTAGCTTGTGTACTGAGGTGAAAGGGAGTCATTGAACTATAAACAAAAAAACAGAAGCGAAACCTGCCTTTATCTTTGGCTCATTAACCTCAGGGAAACTACAGTCTAAATAAATATGTGCTTAGTCGTTGGAACAAAAGCACACATTAGCACTAACGCGGTGTAATCATATCATTGTAAATCAGAACTATTACATTTATTGGAGCAAGCCAGTTCCAACTTTTTTAGATTCTTTGGGGTCAGGGGGGTTATGCTAGGTAAACACCAACAGTCCCACTTGCATGGCCGTTCACTCACACACTGTCTGGACAACAATACCTAAAACATTTCGGCTGGAATGCCAAAAATCCCCCCTGAAAACACCCACAGCGACAGGCCAGCCTCACCCCTATTGGCCCGGCTCTCCTTCAGTTTTCTCAACTAATGACTCAGCTGCCTGAGCTTCCGTCTCCGAGCCCCACACTCAAACATAACGCACATGCAGGAATATGGGCCAGAGTAAAAGATGAACACACACTCAATGCAACACGTAGAATCCAAGAACACACACACACACACCGCCATCCTGCTGTGCACAAAGGACTAGGGGTCAGAGGATGAAAAGGAAAAGGGGCCAAGGTTCACTCTTTCATTTCATCTTCTCCATTCTTCCCCTCTGTCCCGCTCTAAGTTACCCCACTTCCTGCCTGGGATTTCTGTTTCTTTTCAACTCTACGCCTCTCTCCCTCCATCTTCCTTTCAAACCATTTGAAAACGGCTTCTATTATCTGTTAGAATGAGCTATTGGAAACAAGAAATATAGTAGAAATTCAAGTAAAGAAACCCTTCCAGAGTGGGAGGGAGGAATTATGTGATATGGAATATTAAAGATATCAGACGAGTGGATATATCATGCAATGGAGCAGGAGAGTGCATATGTAGAAAATAAACCACGTTAGGGCTGCAAAAGATATATCGTGTCGTGACGATAATCGCGTTATGCGCATGCGCGATATTGACATCGCAGGACGTGCTATTTAAAAATAAAAAAAATTGTAAAAAAATGTTTACATTTTTTTTTTTGGACGTGCGATATTAAGTAGGCAAATGAACTCAAACACGTCATGTTACAATTATTTTGCTGGTTGCTACAAAAGGAAAACTTGCGCGTGAGTGACATGCAGGCTCTGCATGCACAGCAAACCACCAATCACAACTATTCTTGATCAGATCACAGCAGGATAACCGAGCTAGCTCAGCTTGTTGCTCTGATAACTTAAGATCCAGACGTCCGTGACTAAAATCCATGATCCGGTTAAATATTGTTAAAAGAATACCAATTGTATAGCATTAAAGTTCAAGAAAGGATGGTTTGCGGACAAAAAAAACTGTCTTTTCTTCAATTCCTGTATTTTTTCATATCGCAATATATGTGCAAACGGGAAGAAAATATCGCAATGTCCGTTTTTTCAATGTCTCTGGAGGAGTGAGAGTATCAGTGAAAAGAGGAGCAGATTCCTCTGTCGTGTGGATGATAGAGACTGGAGGGTGTGTGTGTTTGTGTGTATGTGTGTATGTGTGTGTGTGTGTGTATGTGTGTGTGTGTGTGTGTGTGTGTGTGTGTGAGAGAGTGTGAATGCTGAGGAATGCAGCCCTACTGCGGAACTGTGAGCCAGAGACAGAACAGGGGGAGGGGCAGGTTTCAGGATGTAGGCCAAAGTTTCACCAACTGGGACGCACAATACAGTATAATGGAATATTTGGTATCATATGTGCTTCTTACACAGATGAAACGAGCCATGTGTGTGTGTGTGTGCAGCCTCTGTGGCGACTATAACGCAATACTCACAGCCATGGTAGGAGGCAGGTGAGCCCTCCGACCTGCCGTACTCTTCGCTGTAGGAGGTGGAGAGGTTAGGCTGAGACGAGCCTCGACCAAAACCCATCTGACTGCTCCCTGTGGACACCTGGGCCATGCGCTCTTTGGTCTTCAAAGCCTGAGACCTAGTAGGACAACAAATAAAACACAGTATCAGCTACTGAACAACAATCTTGTCTTAACTAAGATTCTTATAATCCTTAGTGTGACGTCCAAAAAGACAACGTAAGCGTAAGGTATTAAAAGAAAAGGGGAAATAGTCTTTAGAAGTGGAAATTTGCACGAGTGAGACGAAAACAGCCATGAGAATCAGGGTTTTAAATAGTTCCCAATTCAAAAATGCCAAGCCAAAATCAGTAATTAGAATTAAACATGCTGCCAAACAAATGGTGAACCACCCCCCCCTGGGCCAACTGATATGATTTTGGAATGCCCTGATTTTTTGGGGGGAATCAGGGAGGAAGAGGAATTTGGTTGGCTTTGGTAGTTTTCAGCACCAGAGCAGATATAAGAGAGAATAAATTATGTTGCTTGATAAAAAAAAAAAAAGACACATTTTAGCCAATGGCTCCTCAGTAAATATTTTTTAAGAGGCCATTTTAATTGGATGAGCACATGTGTAATTCAGAGTTGGAGAGGATTGCTGTCACATCCGCAAACCCACAGAATCGGGAATACTTTTGTAAAAAAAGTTGGGCACAGGCTTTTCCAATAGGACAGAATAACGTGGCATGATTACAGGCTTATCACAAAAGTCAACCCCTAATATTTCTGAGTTTTTGATTAAAAAAAGTGTCTTACCTCTCTCCTTTGAGGCGCTCCTCATCTTTGAGTAGGACCACCAGCTGCTTGCTCTTCTCCCTGACGTTGATGCCCTGGTCCTTGCCGTCTCTGTCGATAAACTGGAAGTCCTTTAGGGTCTGGATGGCGAAGATGTTCTCTTTGCACTGCAGCGCCACTCGCTCTGAGCCCGTCTTGATCAGATAGTCGAGCAGGGTGAGCGCCTTGTAGACGTGGCGCCAGTTCTTGCCGTGGTCGTTGAGCCGCTTCCAGATCATGCTCATGATCTCGCTGAAGGCAACCACGTTGTAGGTGAGGTCGGCGATCTCGGACATGAGCGAGGACGACGGGCCCCAGGGGTCGTTGGAGGTGGACTCTCGGACTTTCTTCTCCGCGTCCGAGTAGTTGTTCACCATGTTCTTCATCTGCCGGCGAATGGTGGAGCTCGGCATGGTCACGGTGGCGATGGGACAAATGGGAAGAAATAAAAATGTACACTCTCACACAGGAGAGAATCTATGACCCCAAAAATATTTAGGTAGAGAACACAGAGGGTGTATACGTGTTTGTGTGTGCTTCAGGTGAAGCTCAAGTTATGTCCGTGCGCCTGTGTCCTTTCTCAAGGCACGGCGGTGGCGTGTGCACGAAAAGCTTCTTGTGTACAGCGCTGTGTGTGTTGTGTATGTTTGTTTATGAGGCTTCGCCAGGCCAGTGCAGTGTTCCTGAGTCCTCCAGAGCAGCGTCTGTTAAAACCATCTCCACACACACAGTGCTGGCTGCACATGTGACCACGCCATCACCTGGAACAAACAGACAAATACCAGGTTAGTGGAAGGAAAAATACATTTGAGAAGGATAAGAGAGTTAAGAACAGAGCAAACTAAAGAGCAAACACTACAAAACTTCCTTATTATTATAAGTTGCACATTAACTGCCGACATTGTGTCTCCACAATTAAAACTTGATGTTGTATGCCAATAATATTATTAATCCAAATCCCTTAAATATTTGATTCAACCTACCTTTCTTAAGGAAATATAGGAGAAACAAATGTCTTAACAAGTGTTTTGATCAAAACTACGAAAATCTGGTACAGTCAGAGCCAGGGCTAATCAGTGACTTTCTTAAAGATTATGAACAAAGAAATCGAAAATATCATTTGTATTTATACGAGCAGCTGTAGGGCCTTCCTTTTTGAAACTAGACCAAACAATGTCTCATGCTTTCACACTTTGATAAGCAATTTCCATGCCTCCTTCTTATTAACTGGGGCCAGGTGGTTTTTCCACTGTTGTAATCTCACTTGAGTTTACAGTAACCTGACTGAATTTCAAATTACAAGGCAGGGTGTTGAACATGAATAACATAAGAGCAGTCAGGTGTGTGTGGTGGTTAAGTTGCGTATTGGGTGGGCTTGGAGGGCAAGAAATAGGAGCAGAGATCGCAGGACACTCAAAGAAAACGCAAGATTGGTGGGAATAAAATAGAAGATCAATGCGACGGAAAGAAAACGAAATCATAAAATAAATGTTTAAAAAGCATAAATAATAAAAAGAAAATACAACAATTGTCTCAAAAGATAATCAATTCATGTGGTGTGATTCTTTTCTTACGATACTGCGAAGAATAACCTCAATAACAACATGGTTTGTTGTTGCCAGCTTTGTGGAAAATGTACCACTAAGTAGCACAAAGTAATAGTAAATTTTAGCAGAGCTGGAATCAATGATTTCCTTATTTATAATTCTCAAGCAATTCAGTATTTAACGAGCCTTTATCAAGGCTCTTCCCCATAACGACAGTATTAACAGTCATTACGAGAGACGCCAGAACACTGAGTGAGTAAAAATGTGTTTCCACCCTTTGGTGGGTGTCAGGAGAGATTAATCAATTGCAGTCAGATGAAGAATACACAAGTGACTCGTCAGTCCTGTTTCTATCAGATCAGCGGCACAGATACGAATCACTTCCTGACACTCACCAGTATGGAGAAATTGTAGCGATTCACAGCTGTGTGACCACCTACAGAATTTATTTCCATATGCAAACTCTCTCAAGCATGAAAAAGTCACTTTACTGTGAAGCGCTAAGTTATGAAACACACATTTACCGTTCATGCACCTTCTGTTTACCAAGAGGTGTGGCTTATGTTAACATGGTATGGTACGCTTGGACAGAAAAGTTCATTCCAATGAGCAAGCATCTGTTTGGCGTGGTCATTCAGCCAGATTAGTATGTTGATGATGTTTATGAAAACAAGATCATTGAGATAAAACGATTATGGTGCATTCTGTTTCACAATGATGCTCTCGTGTTGTTTAGTTACAAATCCAGCACAACTTTGTCCTCTACTCAGTGCGGGCTGGCCCTCGCTGGGTGCATTTCCTCTGCAGCGGTGCAGCCCATCCAGCACTAGGTTGGCTCAGGAAGGCTGCAAATGAAGGTTGGGTGGCAGGCCCAGTTGTGAGCATTGCGCCTAAACGTACTGGCCGCCTTTTTCCGGTTCCTACTTTAATCCGAAGTGCACTGTCCTCAGTGCTTTAGGTGTATGGGGTGTTGTCAGAAGCCGGTCTAGCCGTCTTAAAACCCCGAACTCCGTCTCGTTCACCATGTGGGAGTGACTTTTTATATGCAGCTTAATCACGATTCATATCTACAACAACTAATTTGTTTATGATTAAATTGTTAACTCCACAAAGTTGTTTACAAAAGCTCTTCATATATCTAGCGTCTTAACTTGGCTCTCAAAGTGCACCAGGTGATGCATTGTGTAAATAATTGTTAACTAAATATTGAGGATAATAAATGAATGTAACACTGATTAGGATGTTTTGCCTAGCGTATTCTACACCCACTAGTGCCATAAAACATATTGTCGTAGTTAGACACATTTACATCATCTGCACCCTCACCAAATCCTTTTTTAAATGAATCCTTTTTTCTGAATAAGGATCTGTTTGTGCCCACTGTTGCTCAGACTACCATCTAGACCCGAGATGACTTATCCTATTCAGTAATCTGATCCCTGCGCCAAGCGTGTACCGACCTGCCCCACAACCTCCTGCTTTCATTACCAAGGGACGAGTTCTAGAAGTGATTAGCAGTCTATGCAGACTGTGGTGAATGCAACACAATTTTTCAATTTCAAAAAGTAGCAAATGGCTATGAAGAGATTTACACACTTGTATGCATTTGTTTCAGGGAACTTCCTGCCTAGCAATTCCATGGAAAGACAGCTGGGGTGGACGAGGGTGAGGAAACGAAGAGGAGCGTGAGACTGTGTTGGGGGGGGGGGGTAAGAAAACAACTTGGCACATCCCCTAAATGTTAGTGAAATCTGATTCCTGTGGAGCGTGCCCCCCAAACTTTCCCTCGTCACCCTTCTCCCCCCACTCCTCACCCTGCATCCGCATGAATACTGCTCAGACCTAATGACACATCTGCTGCTATAATCACCTATTCACCCATAGCAGACAGGAGGAAGAGAGGAGAGTCTGTCTGGTCCATCCAAGCCCCCCCACACACCCCGGAAACCCCCCCCCCACAAGGCACTGTTGGCCCGCCTTCCTCCAGCCCTTCTGTGCTTAGATCCCCCAAGGCCCAGAAGAGACAGCACACAAGACGTGTGTGTGTGTTTAGAAATATAAATATATCCTTTCAGGCTTCATTATGTCTCACTCTCCATCAATATTATTGAAGATATTTTACTTTCTTTTCTTTTATATTCAACATTGTTATCTCTACATACTAAACCTATATTTTCTTTTAATTCATGTTGACTTTAACACATTTTGCTGTCTTTTCTAGCATCAAGTTCATGTAGAAATGCTCTAATGAAGGCATGAAAAGGACAGTAGCATCAGCAGGAAACTGAACTGCAAATACCAAATAAGATGGGCTCAGTTTAGAGTTGACGCCAGAGTTTTTAAAAGGAGATAAACTACTTAGTTATTGTACGTCATTGCAAAAAACATTAGAAAAGAGACATTTGTTCCACACAGAACACAGTCGCGTGCCGTGCACTATTACACAGAGTCATACAATTAAAATTCATAAAAACTGCTGAATCCTGTTTGAACCAAATAAGATACAACTGATTGCACTATTATCAGATATTTTATCACAAAAAAATAACTACAATATAATTTGGTACCGTCATGTTTACATAAAAAAAAAAAAAGAGGACATTTTGAAGTACCAGCATGGGCTATCATTACAATATATGGGGGGACATTTTGCCTGAGTCAACTAGCAAAGTCATTTCTATCAAGTAAGTGAATAAAACAGACTAAACACAATTATTTCAAGTTTATAGCAAATGCATGCAACAGGCATGTCCTTCTATTGTTGTGATGTGCTCATCAACAGGTTAAATTCCTTGCTGAACTGTAAATCAATGTATTGACCAGAGGTACTTACATTAGGACCTGATCTGCAGGATTGTTATAATCACAGCATTTTTGATGAATCACATCAACGACTTAAAGTTTGATCCATTTCCAATAATTGTTGATGCTACAAGTACGTCAGCCAAAACAAATGCCAAATCGCACTTGATTTAAAACTGAAATTTCTAACTGTGTTAGTGAATAACCTCGTGTTTCCCCTATATACAGATAGTGGCGGCGCAGTGCCGCTGCTGAAATATGCGCACCGCTGCCAGGGGGCGCCAGCCAGGTACCCAAAAAATAAATAAATGTTGGTTTAACTTTTTATTAAAAATAATAATAATTGGCGACCCTTTTTCATTTTTGATTGTTTGTTATGTGGATTTGTAGTATTTGTGTTACTGTATATTCAATAAAGGTGTATTTTTGCTAAATCTTGAGACATTGCCACTGTATGTATGTACTAGGGCGCCAGATCTGGGGGGCGCTGCGCTTGTAGCTCTGGGAGGGGAAAAAACATTTTTGACCGTTGGCGCTCATCCTAATTTTCGGCCTTGATGTAACAACATTCATAATTAAGTAAATGTAACACCCTTTTCACCCCGGATACACTTTTCATTTGCCCTGTACGATGGGCGCTGTAAGTGATGAAAGTGGGGGATGTTGGCTTATCAGGCGCCCGCAGCTCACAGCCAAAGTGCGAGCGTGGGAGCGAGCAAGGGAGAGAGAGAGAGAGCGAACCGGTACCGGCGCTGTTGTTATTAGAATCTGGTGCTAGCTGCGCTAACGGATATAAGAAGTAGATGTTTCTACAACCAGGGTGGAGGAGAGCTCTCCTGTCAGACTGAGAGGCTCAGTGAGGTAAAGGACTCTCTGAGTGTTTAGATAGTTCATTTTAGTCTAAGTTATCTCAGTGGGTCTCAAACGTTTTGACCACAAATTATGTAAACACATATTTCCAAGGCACTCATTTATAATTATTAGGATAAATAACAACAAATCATTCCAATGTATACTATAGGACAGTAAACCAAACATATCGTTTAAAGTTGGAGATACAAAAATATGCATAAATAAATGTTAACTAGGTAAAATAAGATATGAATGAACAACAAAAATAAAATAAGTTACATTTATTTGTTATTGGCTATGGTAGGTTATTGGTTATGTTCATATACTTATTTGATTATTAAAATGCAAACCGATCTTTTTCATATGGGTGTTTTAGAGTTGTACCCCCTAAATCAGGTCTCCAGTAATTGTGTGCTCAAAGTGCACCAGATTGAAGCATTTTACTTTAAAATGTTCAAAAAAATCTTCCCGGGCGGGCATACCCCCGGACCCCCCTAGAGGATGTGACGTCCACCCCCCAATTCAAACATGTTCATACAATACTGAATACATTTGAAGCCATTTTGACGTATATTACCTATGTCAATAAGTTTCTGTTTTTGTAGTGTATTTGTCTTTTGTAGAGATTTTTCATTTATTCTTTATATATAAAATCTCGCCTAGGGCAGCAAATTGTCTAGAACCGGCCCTGGTACTAGGCCTCAATAGCCTTTCTTGTGCTGGCAGACACAGAGAAACAAATTGGCGGGGCGCACTTCGCACGTGCACACACTAAAAAATTCCGCTCGCTCCGCGCTCACATTATGCTAAGCCCACGTGGCTTAGCACCGCTGCTATGACTCCATCCTAGGGGAAACACTGGACCTACATATGAATTACAGAGCACACGAACAGTATGATGTGATGCGACAGTGTAAAAAAAAAATGCAAATACCGAACCGCATTGGTGCGAACGCAAATATATGCCAGACTAGAGGCCATAATAGAAACATTTTATGAGACTGAGGACAAGAACAATGTGTGAGACAATGCCACAACCTACGTAAAGTGGTGCAGGATTGAGTTCTAAACTCGAAAATGGGTTAGCATTTTAGTAATCCTTGTCTAAAAGTCAATGGTTTTTCAAATTTTTTTTTGTTGGATGCCTAAAATAAGGTCTGTGTTTAACTCAAGCTTACAATGATTTTTTATTTAGTTCTACAACATTAAATACATCAGTAAATACCCCACTCGTGAATGTCTGAAGCTTGTATGTGTCTTAAAAACAGCAGTTGCTTACAAGAGACTAAATATGACTACTAAACATCATCACACAGAATACTAGTCCCCCTTTTGCTTAGCGGTTGTGACGTTCAGTCAGGCAACCATGTAGTTTGTAGCATTACGTTAGCAATAAAACATGAAAGTGGCATAAACGTCTGTTTGCACCTGATCTTATTTTGTTGCTATATTCCAAAAGAAAAATCCCAATATCTTTTGTTGAAGGAGCCCCTGCGATACTTAATTCCGGGCTGGCCATTAAAATACGTCATCACTGCACCACTCTAAATGACAATAAAAGTCCACCACTGTCTGATGCAAGAGCACAAGCTAGATCTGTCGTGTGTGTGTGTGTGTGTGTGTGTGTGTGTGTGTGTGTGTGTGTGTGTGTGTGTGTGTGTGTGTGTGTGTGTGTGTGTGTGTGTGTGTGTGTGTGTGTGTGTGTGTGTGTGTGTGTGTAAAACCTAGGTAAACTGTGATTAGCATTAAGGGTTGAAAAGCTGTAGACCGAGAACAGGTCTACCGTGCCAGGCCCAAACAACAAGAGTAAAGCTGATCTGGAGATAGAATGATTTCACAACCGGGTACCTGTATGTGTGTATCAATATCTTTGAGTGCATTAAGAAAAAGAGTGTGCTCCAGCTTGACATAAAGTTATCCAGCCATCCATTTACTTCCTTTAAACTGAATTTGAGTGCAACAACAAGCACCATATAACAGTGATTAATCCACTAACACTCAACTACTCAAAGCAATGCTCAATGCTGTCAAGTCAAATAAAAAGTATATCAAGTCTAACCCGCACAAATCAACACGTGTTCAAAGACACCTATAGTGGCTGTCCTTAAGTTATGAGGAGCATTAAGGCAGAAGCAGTGAGGAGGAAGGAGAAGCCACCTTCTGATCAGCTTGTCACCCCGCCTTTTGTCCTGCTTGGCCGGCTGGGAGACAAAGCTAAATCAGGGAAGGGAGGAGGACGGTGATGATGCATCTGTCACCCAATGTGACTGACTGATCGTCCTGACGATAGACAAAGCCCTGCCCCTCTCTCAGGCCACGTTTAAATGGGTTCAGTGCAGCTCTGAATACAAAGCTTACACCCAAACCACAGGCTGTATGACCCAGACACAGGCATCTTCGACCATACCCCATAAAACAAACAAACCCTACAACTGTTCAGTGTCTTACAGCATAGTTGATGGCTTGAATGCCATTACGGATGGTCGATTGGAAACGGAGCAAGTAAACAGACAGCGCCCACATCGTAAAATAATTTCTCATAAAATATCAGTAAAAGGACGTCAAGTTTTGCCCTGATGACTCACAATAGTATGACCTAACATAGTCGTTATCTATATTAAAGCATGGTGCCGTTGTAAAGGAAATACAAGTAATCAAACCGTTTCTTTACAAAAGGAAACAAATCACGGCGTTTAAATGAACTGATGTGATTAGTAGCATATAAGCTAAAGAAGAGTTGGCTAACAATAGTAAGCCTCAATAATTTCCCCCTTCAAGCAATAGACCGGGTTGGATAGCGAAATAATGTTAAACGAAGAAGAAATCCAAGTGTGTAAAATGCTATTTTAATTCATTAGTTTGAATAAATAGTCACCTCGTCGCTAACGGTTACCGCTAACGTTAGCAAGTTGAGTGCAAACTTGCAGCAAGTAACGTTAGTTGTCAGTAGCTAGCCAAATAAGCTAGCGGGCAACTTGCTTACAGTGTTTTACTTAGTTGAGTCTGGTGATTTGAAAAGCACAACAAAACTACACTTTGATTTAATATGTAGTTGGTCTTGTCACCAATTTGATTGTGTGCCCGTAGATATAACGGCTGACTAACATTCATTTATCATAAAAGATCAAAACTTGTCTTTGTAAAAAAGTTGGATCAAAGCTAGCAAAGCTTATGTTAGGTTAGCCAGCGGCGTATCTCCTCACCCCTGTAGTTTGGCTTAAACATTCAACTGTTGATCACTCAGCATCTAGTGTTATACACAGCTTGTATTTGTTGGGATTTACAGGCAATCCCACACCAAGATACAGAACTATTCCGTTCAGCTAGACAGCCACTAGGATGCTAAGCTAGTTAGCAATCCTTCAAGCTAGCAGCCAAGACGGGTGCTCGGTGGAGACATCACCAGAGCAAACTGGATTACAGGACACCCTGGAAAAAACAAAACAACTCGACTGTCTTGAAAGCCGACGTTAACTTACCATATATTTTGGGCTACGTCGGGTTCAACTTTTAGTCCAGGAAAATACACCCATAAACGAGTTTCTCCAAACCCAAGGGAAAAAATCAAGATAGAGTACTTATTCCGGCGTTCGGAGAGCTTGTTGCGCCTCCGCCTAGCTATGTGTTGCTAATGCTAAGCCAGCTAAAGCCAGGCTACACGTATCTCCTCCTCCAGAACATGGCGGGCAGAGCGGGAGGGGGAAGCTGGGAAGGGTGTGACCAAGGCGGCTTTACTTGCCAGCGACACAGAAAGACCCTTTACTCCCGTCTGAAAACCAGTGGTGTAAAGTAACTAAGTACATTTACTCAAGTACTGTTCTTAAGTATCATTTTTGATGGACTTGTACTTTGAGTATTTCAAATGTTTGTGCTACTTTGTACTTCTACCCCACTAAAATTAAGAGGTGAATGGTGTGCTTTACTCCACTACATTTGTTTAATACCTTTAGTTACTTTGCACATTTTTATTAATAATGAGAAATATAAAGGACACTTAAATAAGATGTTAGTTACACTCAAGGAGTAACATTCAAAAGCTACCCTGCAGTATTCAAGAAAATAGTAATCCTACTCTTATTAAGTACATTTCTACTTTTACTTAGAAGATCTGAGTACTTCTCCCATTTTAGCTGAAAAGTATAGGCTAGTCATAATGCTCACAAAGTCATAATGTAAGGTGACGGCAACAGGGCAGAGCCGACTTAATCATAATTCATATATTTCCCAAGTGTTCACTGAAATGACATGCAACAGGATGGGCCTTTTTTCTTTGGAGTGTATAAAATGGCATGAAGGCTCACAGCAGTGCTTATGTCTCCTTTAGAATTTCAAATGACCTGGATACTCCTGTTATAAAACATTAGCGTCTATTCTGCTTGAGCTGTAAGTGACTGAACAGACCTCTCAGGTTAATCAGGTTCTCAAGAAACTAACCTATACTTATTTGCAATGAAAGCCACTGGGAATGACTTATGATGGCTAAGTAAGTAGTATACACACATAACATCTTCTTAACGTGTGTGTATGTGTGTGTGTGTGTGTGTGTGTGTGTGTGTGTGTGTGTGTGTGTGTGTGTGTGTGTGTGTGTGTGTGTGTGTGTGTGTGTGTGTGTGTGTGTGTGTGTGTCACAGGTGTGTGTCACAGGTGTGTCCATACAGGCATAGCAAACATTGTAGGACAGCATTCCATCAGTCAGACTTGTTCATTGTCTCTTTGCAACCATCTCATAATTTGAATAGGGAGGAACGCATTCCCCCATATTCCCGAGTCACATGCATCACACACTGTTGTAATACTCAAATCAAGTTCTAAAAATAGGCTTTAAAAGTGTACAGTGAGCTATGAATAGTGAAGATGGAGAGTTTGATCCAATAGCTAAGTATTAAAACGTCAGAGTTTTACAGCATTGACAGGAAAGTTGCCAGCACCTGGACCATGTTCATGGCCAATGTGGTGTCTGTAAACTGTATTTTCTTTCTATGTATATGCTGTGCCTTCTGGCTGGCTGGCTGTGACACTTTATTTTGGTCTTTTTCTAAGCCTAAGCCTAAGCCAATTGTGATTGTGAGTGTCTGCGTGAGAGAGTAAAAAAGAAAGACAGACTTGGATGTCATGTTGTGAACAAGCTGTTAAATACCTTTTATTTTTCAGCCACACTGGTTTTAAAGCTTTATATAAATAGAGCAGGCATTTGCAGGCAAAAATAAACAGATTATTAAAAAACTCGACCAAAACAGTATTTTCTGGCATTGATAGACCCCAAACCTTTTCACTAATGGATTCTTCTCTTTCTTTACTGAGCTTTATTTACATCAGTGTAGACCTAAAATAAACCACATTTAAAACACAACCTTCCTGAAACACACTGGAACAGTCAATATTTAGCCCAGATTGCCGAAGAGGATTATGTACCAACGCTAGTTTGTTCAAGAACATGAGAGGAGGAGGGCATTATGTATTTTGTCATGAATTATATAAATAAATATAAAATACAAAATATATAATAAAATATAACTTTTTTTTTCTTGAATCAGCTGGAAAAAAGCAATTGCACTAACACATGTGATAAATGCTCTCCTTTCCAGCATGTGACCAAAGATAACCCTGCATGGGTCGGTCTGATAAGATCCTTTATTTTGCAAGCAGGACATTAAAAAAAAACACCATTTAATGTCACCTTGACATATAAGATTATTTACCAACTCCTGACATCACCTTGTTTCATAGTTTTCTTATCTTGTCTGCCCGAGTGTTATCATACTCTCCTCTTTGCTTATTCAAGCCTGTCAAATCTGGATTGTGCTATTCCATTGGTTGAATGTAATGAAGTACATTCACTCAAGTACAATGAAGTACAATTGTGAGGTTCTTTTACTTTTCATTTTATGCTACTTTATACTACTCCACTACATTTTGGATGTACATGTTGTACTCTTAACTCTGCTACAAGCGTCTTTGAGTTCTAGAGAAGCACTATATATAAATATTATTTATTATTATTATTATTTATCTGAGAGCTTTAGCAACTAGTTGTTCTACATATTCAGATTATTAGCTAATACAAAATGCCAGCTGCTATAGACTCATGAATGCATCAATAATCATAGTGCAGTAATATTATATAAATATTATTCAGAAATAGGCTACTTTTAATTTTTGGACTCTGAGTATATTTTGAAGGCTATCTTTAATTAAGTTATGTCTTGTACTTTTACACCACTGTGCTAATCTATAGAAGGCAAAGAGAAAGCAATGAAAGTCAGCAGGCTTGTTTTACACTGTCTATTTAGTGCCTCCTTCAGATCAGACACCTCCATTCATCTGCAGTTCCAATTTTAGCCAACAGAGGTCAGCAGTGTTCTACTTTTGATAAGACTTACCTTCTTATTGTATCTGAAGGTAACTTTGGAGGTCCTCTACCTGAACCCCTGCAGCCATGAGTGGCTTTTAACTTGGAATAAGCCTGGTGACCCTCAATAAAACAAAATATTAAACCTAATTAAAAATTAAACACTATACCCTGCCTTCTTCATTGTAAAACCACGTTGTACATTTTACACATATATAATCTGTTCAATATTTTATATTTAATATTTAATATTCCATATGTCATATATTTTTGAATATATATATTTGTATACATAATATCTACATGTATGTTTTCTATTTCAACATGTATATTTTCTATTTTCTTTTCTTTTCTTTCTATTCTTGTTTATTTGTAGTTTTGTTTTATTGTAAAATGCCTTGTCTTTTATGCTGCTGCAACTAAAACAATTTCCCAAATTGGGATCAATAAAGTACCATCTTATCTTATCTTATCTTATCTTAATTACCAACATCCTATTGGAAAATCATTGGGCCCTTAGATATCCTATCAACACCCTTAAAGGTGGGGTAGGTAAGTTTGAGAAACCGGCTCGAGATACACTTTTTGTTATATTCCATGGAATGCTCTTAACATCCCGATAGCAATGAATATCTTAAGTGTTTTGACAAAAAATCCATAAAAAAATGTCATCTGTGTAGTGTCTCTACTTTAAAGAGTCCTCTCCTGCTGATGTTCAGGTGTACGTAGTCCCTCTACTTTAAAGAGCTATCTCCTGCTGATGTTCAGGGTGTACTGTATATCAGTATGTAGTGTCTCTACTTTAAAGAGTCCTCTCCTGCTGATGTTCAGGTGTATATCGGTATGTAGTGTCTTTACTTTAAAGAGTCCTACAATTAGATGGAAAACAGCTGCAAAGAGACAGAAAATTACAACAAAGAGACAATGAATCACCATAAAAAAATATTTTAGTAGAGAAATGTTTTCATTGAAGTTAATGTGTTGAAGGGAATCCTGTAAAAAAAAGTTTTATTCAAAATGGCACTTTATCAAAATGCAATTGAGTGCAACTTCAACGTAACTGTATTTTTGGTTCCTATTAGATAAGATGTACTTTATTGATCCCAAATTGGGAAATGTTTGCGTTGCAGCAGCATAAAAAACAAGGCATTGCACATAATTAGAAATTAAAAGAGTAGAAATAAACATTTCAAAAATTTGAAAGATATCAAAATAGAAATTAAAAAGTAGAAAATATGCATTTGACGTGAAGATGAAACATAATAGAACATGTTGCTTACTTCCCATTGGAATTAATAAAGCATTTCGATTGTTTACATTTCTTTATATTATCTAAACACAATTGCGTTTCTAGGCAACAGCATGGTTCCATTCTTACTTCCTGTAAGCTGATGTCCTTCACTCTTTATTTGGAATGGAACCTTCAGAATTATGACATCATCTTTTGCTTTCATGTAGAATTCTGAATTCTGCATTGATCTTCAAGGAGTTTGCAGGACTTGGCTGTAACGGTGAATTCATCAGAGCATCAGAGCACCAGAGCACCAGAGCAGCAGGCAGAAGGAATTTGTCCAGCTAGTGTCAGATCATTGCAGAAATAGGTTTTGTTGCAAGCAAACATTAGGGATACTTGCAGTGTTTTTTAGCGAGATAATCTTCACAAGTGAACTTTTGTGACGTTAATTCAGTCGAACAATTACATTTAGTTTGCTAAACAACAGGTCATTTCGTCACAGCAGTAGAGATGGAGATGAACAATAGAGATGAGCTGGCAGTCAAGCTCGAGATTCTGCAAAAAGAAAATCAGGAAATTAAGTTGTGGCTGGAGCAGGAGAGGACTTTAAGGGATAAGCTTGAGATTGAAGGCGCTAAAAAGAAGGAAGCGATGCTCAAAGCATATACAGAGAATTCAGCTTTGCTGTTTAAGCACAATGTGAAAGTGAAAGCCCAGGAAATTGAGCAGAACGTCTTGCGCTTCAACAATGAGGACCTGAACATGAAATACAGAAACCTCCAGAGGTCACACAAGAAGGTCGAAGCCGAGATGGCTGCCTTGAGAAAGGCAAACCAGGAACTCAAACAACTGAAAGAACCCTGTGTTGAGGAGCAAGCTGTAAAGATAGCTGATTTGCGTGAGAGAAACCAGGAACTCACACAACTGAAGGAGCGTTGTGTGGAGGAGAAGGATGCAGAGATAGTTGCTTTGCATGAGAGAAACCACAAACTGGAACAACAGAAGGAACGTTGTGTGGAGGAGAAGGATGCAGAGATAGTTGCTTTGCATGAGAGAAACCACAAACTGGAACAACAGAAGGAACGTTGTGTGGAGGAGAAGGA